ACAATTTTTAGATTATGATATACACAATTACGAAGGATGATTTATATAGATACAGAATACAATTATATACAAATTTGACAAGACATTTGCTCCATACAAATAACATGATTTGACACTGATAAAATAATGATAAGACTTCACAATGATAAAGTAATGACATAGCAATTCAATGACAAATAACTGACATGACTTGGCAGTACACTGATTACATTGAGAAAGCTATCTAACAAATGTACAATGATTACCACTATTCAAGATATAATATTGGAAAAAACAATTGCACATTTATTAATCTTCATCAGACATATAATCATCTGACAGGCATTGTGCATTAAACAATACATTGTTTGCTCAATTGGTATCAACTCTCGTCGATATGTAGTTCCCACAATAACTTTTGCTAGTTGGAGCATGTAATAGCGACACCTACGCACCAACATTCTATTATTATCTCTTCGAACATGTTTTATTGTTAATTCGTACTCTTCCTTATTCCGACGTTACATTGTCAATGATCATCTATTAGGCAATGGTATGTCAAGTTCTCTTAGTTGTGTGGATAGTTCGCCCAATTTTTTAGCACGAAAAACTCATTTTTGTCATACTCCTGCATAATATTCTTTTGAATCGAAAAATCTCTCAGTCTTGTAATCATCGTTTCACTCTTGCAACAACTAAACTCGTTCATGTCTACGATTATTAAATCTTGTAGAGAAATTTGATGTAGACATAATTTTTAGTATTTATCATATCAACCATAAATAAGGTGTTTAAATAGTAGTGTACAAATCATAGTGTGTTGAACATGTCACAACAGTCAATAGTTTGTTGTCACTTCAACACATGGTTTGCTGAAACTCATTTAGGGTTTAGTTACTTCAGAACATGACATTTAGTAGTCACAAGCAGTCACTTTTTTTTCTTCGGCCTTATCAAATGTCATTTAGTTGTAACTTCAGAACATGATTTTTATGAAAATGCTCACCAGTTCACCCTTACACCTTGTTGGCAGCTGTGTGTATTCATTCCAACACATGATTCATAAGCAATTAGAGGGTTTTGTCATTTCATTGAAAAATTCATTGACTCAGTGGGTTGTCACTTCATGATGTGGCTTGTTGAATAGTCATGTTAGTGCAAATATATCAAATATAGATCAGTGCATTATCAATTCATGGGTAATAGGAAAACAATCAGTGTATTGTCAAGTCATGGGTAACGGGAAAACAATCATTGTATTGTCAAGTCATGGATACTAGGAAAACAATAAGTGTATCCGTCCTTTCTCAATGAATTGATATATCCATCAAACCTTGATCTTTCAAGAATATATATTCATTGTGTGTAAGCAACTCATTGAACAAAAATCATTTCTAACCATGAATTATAGTGTGAGAACGTTATATGAAAATATAGATTATCATTGGACCTTAGAGGATGAGTTCTTCTATCTACTGAATCTCCGTTTACGTTATTCAAACAGGGTCATAAGCACCATGAGGGCTTAATTACAATATCATTTGACGGAGCGAGAAAATCTTAGTGGAGATATGCGAACTTGCAATATACAGCCTCGACAAATTGTCATTTATATGCCAGTTGAGACACCTCAACAACTGGAGCAAGCATTGCATCGTTTTCGAGTTGAGAACAATCGCATGACAACCCGTTTAAATCATTACAACCTTCGTCGCATTCCACACTGCTGAAGAAGGGTTAATGGAAGAAGAACGTATAAGGTTCTTCTTAAGTGGAGATGTTGGATCTATTTCTGATGTTGAGATGTTTGACGAAAATGTTGACCCATGAAACATGTGGTGTGGAGAAATGTTATGTTAGCATTGTGTGGAGAAGTGCTATGTCAGTGTTGTGTGAACAAGTGTTAGGTTAGTGTTGTGTGTACAAGTGTTATGTTAGCATTTGTGATAAGAAGTATTATGTTAATGTTGTGATGAGAAGTGTTATGTTATTTTTGTTGTCTCCCGATCCTGTTATTGTTGTGTCAAGATTTAAATGTGAAGTGTTATGTTGAAGTTGAGTTAAATGTGTTGTGTACAATATTGATTGTGTATGTGACAACTTGATTAAAGATTG